TCCCAGCGTGCCGATGATCCCGATCCCGATGATCCCAATCCCGATGATCCCGATGATCCCGATCCCGATGATCCCGATCCCAATGATCCCGATGATCCCGATAATTCCGATGATTCCGATGATCCCAATCCCAATGATCCCGACGATCCCGATGATCCCGATGATCCCGATGATCCCGATGATCCCGATAATTCCGATGCCAACGGCGCTTCCGGAACCTTCCCAGTGCTGCTGCCCAGGGTCTGCACAGGGTTAGAAAACAGCTTCAACCAAAAAATTCCTGGGATTTTCACCCCCTTTAGGGATGAATGGGAAGACTGGGAAGGGCGGGTGGAGGGAAAAATTTGGGATATTTATCATTAATAGAGGGAGGGAAAAAATTTGGGATATTTAATTTATCATTAATAGTCTGAAGGAAAAATTTGGGATATTTAATTTATCATTAATAGTCTGAAGGAAAAATTTGGAATATTTAATTTATCGTTAATAGTTTGAGGGAAAAATTTGGGATGTTTAATTTATCATTAATAGTCTGAAGGAAAAATTTGGAATATTTAATTTATCGTTAATAGTTTGAGGGAAAAATTTGGGATGTTTAATTTATCATTAATAGAATGAGGAAAAAATTTGGGGTATTTATCCTGGATAGACTGAGGGAAAAATTTGGAATATTTAATTATCATTAACAGTCTGAGGGAAAAATTTGGGGTATTTAATTTATATTGAATAGAATGTGGGAAAAATTTGGGATATTTATCATTAAAACAGTGAGGGAAAAATTTGGGATATTTATCATTAATAGAGGGAGGGAAAAAATTTGGGATATTTAATTTATCATTAATAGTCTGAGGGAAAAATTTGGGATGTTTATAATCAATAGAGTGAGGGGAAAAATTTGGGATATTTAATTTATTGTTAATAGAATGAGGGAAATATTTGGGATATTTATCATTAATAGTCTGAGGGAAAAAATTGGGATGTTAAATTTATCATTAACAGAATGAGGGAAAAATTTTGGGTATTTTTCCTGGATAGATTGAGGGAAAAAATTGGGATATTTAATTTATTGTAAATAGAGTGAGGGAAAAATTTGGAATATTTAATTTATCATGAGCAGAGTGAAGGAAAAATTGGAAATATTTAATTTAGCACAAATAGAGTGAGGGTAAAATTGAAAATATTTCATTGATCATTAATTAATAAGGGAAATTTTGAAATATTTCACGATTGCATTAATAGACAGGATAAAATATGAAATATTGAATATCATCATTAATAAAGAAAAAATTCAACTATTTCATGATTGCATTTATAGAGGCTAAAATTTAATTTCTCCACCTTTAATCCAGTGCATTGGATCTGTTATATTTCAATATTATATTTCAATATTATATTTCAATATTCTACTTCAATATTCTATTTCAATATTCTATTTTAATATTATAGTTCAATATTATAGTTCAATATTATATTTCAATATTCTATTTCAATATTATATTTTAATACTATATTTCAATATTCTATTTCAATATTCTAGTTCAATATTCTAGTTCAATATTATATTTCAATATTATATTTTAATACTATATTTCAATATTCTATTTCAATATTATATTTCAGTATTATATTTTAATACTATATTTCAATATTCTAGTTCAATATTATATTTCAATATTATATTTCAATATTTGGAGGAGAAGTGGAGTTTTTTTTTCTGTGTTTCCTGAATTTTGGAGTGAATTTTGGGGATCCTCACCTCCATCATCCCATCGAGAGCCAGCAGCAGCTGCGGGTCCTGGAGGTTCCTCAGCTCTGTCCTGTAGGCTCTCAGATCCTCAGAGATTCCCTGCAGGCATTTTCCCTGGAAAAAAAAAAAACAGGGAATTGTCAGGAAATGTGGGAATTTGCTGCTCATTTAATCATGCAATGAGAATAAAAATAACTTTATTGGGAAATTTTTATTCACCTTATCGAAAGTTGATCTTTCCAAAACCGGGCAATTTCCAGGCTGCAAATGAAACAAGAGCTAAGATTTGTGATTTGATGGGAATTGTGGATTATAAATTCCACATATATATATATATATAATTATATTTATAATTATAAATGCTAATTCCTGAGGTTGAATTTGGGGTGTAATTTCTGTTTCTCTCACCCCGGCAGCCTGGGCCGTGCAGGCTCTGATGGTGTTGGTTTGGTTCTGGGTGATGTCCTCCACGTCCACCTCCTCAGGGCTGCACTCAAACCCCAGCGTGCCGAGCTCCTGAGGTAAAAAGGGAATTTAAAAAGCTCCTCCACAGCTTCACAATGTGATTTCTCCATTTTTACACATTTCTCTGGCAATCCACGCAGTAATTTCATTTATCTCAGCTGTCTGTGCTCAGATCAATCCCAGCACTGAGGCTCTGGGAGTGAAATGTGAAATACAGGGAATAGATTGGGAATAATCCCAGGGTTTGCACCGATTTTGTTGGGAATTGCTCTGCCTCCGTGGCAGGGACATCCCTGCCCTCCTGGGGACACCTCTGCCATCTTTGGGACATCCCTGCCCTCCTGGGGACATCCCTGACATCCTGGGGACACCTCTGCCATCCTGGGGACATCCCTGACATCCTGGGGACATCTCTGCCATCCTGGGGACATCCCTGCCCTCCTGGGGACATCTCTGCCATCTTTGGGACATCTCTGCCATCCTGGGGACACTTCTGACATCCTGGGGACACCTCTGCCATCCTGGGGACATCCCTGCCATCCTGGGGACCAGAATTTCCTGGTTTGGTGCCTCCCCGGCCCCATCCCCGTTCCCCCCCATCCTCCCGTCCCGTTCCCGAGCACCTTCAGCCGCTGCAGGGACGCGGTGGTGGCTTCCAGCAGCTCCCGGGAGCGGCCGAGGCGCGGGGGGAGAGAGCGGCGGAGCCGGACTGGGCTGGGCAGAGCCCGGACAGGGGTGGGCAGAGCCCGGACAGGGGTGGGCAGTGGATGGACAGGGGTGGGCAGTGCCCGGACAGGGGTGGGCAGGGGATGGGCAGGGCTGGGCAGTGCCCGGACAGGGGGGGGCAGAGCCCGGACAGGGGTG